GCGCGCTGTAACTCCCGTTATCCCTGCGGCGTCGATAAGGATTTCCACCTTCCGCCGTGCTCGGTTCGTCGTAGCCGCGAATCGACATGTCGCGTACGCGTAACCGAAGCGTGAGATTATCCCGGCCGCGATAAGTGCGTGCAACGCGCCGCCATTGAAATTTTCGACACGCAGCAATCTCGGATTTCGCGCGATCATTACGCGTGTGCATGTGAAGCGAGAAATGAAAAAAAAAAAAACAATTTCTCTTCCTACCCTATCGCGACAAATTGAAAAATTCTATAATACTATAGCGCTTTTAATTCGTGGAAACGTAATTTAGCTGTCGGTAGCACTGTGGTGAATAGCAATTAGCTCGTTGCGAAAGGGAGAAAAAGAGAAAAAAGCCACGCACAGGAGCGTTCGACAAGAAATATCTACAAATTAATTTAACGTCCATTAATATTATTAAACGGCTATTGCAACCGTTCAGTGAATGGCAGGCGAGATGCTGCTCCGCTATTTTTATTAGCGACGCGTTTCGCCCGCGGAATCGATTACTCGCGCAGCATCTCCGTGCCTTCTAATTTTAAGCGACCGCAATATAGTGTCGCGTCGCATCGCCAACGTTCTCGTCCCGAAATTAAAGCCACGGCGAAACACGGAGCATCTCCCCCCTCCCCTCCCCAGCGCGGGCGTTACAACTTAATACTGTTAAGCGATGAAGTTTGCTGTCTGAGCCGAGCCACCGTCTTGTCTGCAACTCCCGGAACGGTCGTTTCTATCGGGCGTCTTTGCCGCACGGCACCGACCTTGCCTTAACATCGGATTATCGTTGTATCGGGATCTTTCGGTTCAGGCAGACCACACGACCGACTAAGAATTCCCGACAGCTTATTTGGGAATTCCGGCAACCGCGGCGAAACGGCGCCTTCATCGGCGCGTGCTTCTCCACTCCGCTCGCAGATCCCCAAGGAACTTTGAGACTTTCAAAATTTCTGTGCTGTTAAGTCGCCTTTCAGAGGGAATTTAATACAGAACGCTCGGGAAGGAGAAAAGCGAGAGAGAGAAAGAGAGAGAACTCCTTCTTAGCGTATAGACTCTTTGATTAACTCGAAATGAGTTTTTTTCACGATGGAAATGTAATGGGGTTGTTATGAAGTTATACGAACGATTGGAAATAGTTTCGGCAAGAAATTTCTTTTTATCCTCTTTCCTTTCCAATTTGTCGATCAGACTTTGATAAGACATTTAATGTGTTGAAAGTCGGCAAACTCGTGACAAACGGTAAGCCCATATCTCGCCGTCGGTGGAAACGTCCGCTGCAGATTGATGAGGGCATACCCCCGTCCGGTGCATTCTGTATAATTAATTAATGTTTAATAATTCGTTAATAACCGGAGAGCAGAGGAGATCCTCATTACCGGTAGGTATGAATTACGGCGTACGCGTTTCCCGTTAGGAAAAAAGAAGGAAGAGAAGGAAAAGCGTTCGGTTTCCGAAACAACCGCTTCAATTATTCTACGCCGTTCTCCGCAATGCGCTTCTGCTTCTATCAAATCGGATCACGGGAATCTAATCGGGAGGCAGGAACTCGTCGCGGAAACCACACGCTGTGGAAGCCGCAGGTGTCGACAGTGTGTGGCATCGGCTCCGATCTTTCGTGTCCGTAGCCTTTTCCCTCCCTCTCTCCCGCCCTTCCTGCCTCCTACTTCCTCCATGTCTGCTTTTCCATGCAAGCGGAAGTGAGTTTTCTCAACTACGAGAACGACCTAGTCGGTTGTTTGTTATACGAGAAGCAGCGGGTGAAATTAGTCGTCGTTCCGCCGGCAGCGAGCACAACCCCATTTCTACGTTCTTCCGCCTCTCTTACGATGTCTTGACAAACCTACGAGCACGCAGTCGCGCTCCATTCCTTCCGGATTCACCCCGAGGAACACGCAAATGACTTCATTATAACGAGCGCGGCCCGAGCCGCTCGTCTGCCTCCTGAGCTCACATCGGCTCACCCGCTCATTTCCTATTTATCTCGTGCTCCCCGTAAAGCCTTTAACCCTACGACACCATAGACTTAATTAATAACAACGACGACGTGCAGCAACGACCGCGAATTAGTTTTTCTTTCGGTACGCTCTGACCCGAGTCGAAATTTCTACCTCACTTTTGGCCTCAATATTCCACTTAATGCCTACTTTGATACTCCGAAGCGAACCTCTTTTGATTCCATTTAGCCTACTAAATCTGTCAAGAGTTCTCTTCAGAACCTGCAAGTGGCATTCCGTGCGTTTTCTACCATTTAGAGGCAGGAGAGTAGGATTTTATTTTCTATGCACAAGAAAAAAGGTTGGATTAACCAAACGAGATTTCTGGTTAATCAACTATTCAGAAATTTTGTTAACAAAATTCTGGTAACTTCAATCGGAATTCTGATTCGTGCAGATTTCATCTGATATCTGATTAATCCAATTAAATATTTTCTCCGTGTGTGTAGACACACGCTGATCCTTTAGATCCTTTAGAGTACATAGATGTTAAAAAGTTCAGGTCGAAGGTAGAGCTAAATTTTTGACTCGAGGAAAGGCTACTCGATTTCAGGTGCATTGCTTTAATAACACTTTTGCTATTTCGTAAGGAGGTTAAACTAATTTCATAAGGAGATTGGAAAATCAATATCTATCTTTTTTTGACGAATTACTGCGACCTATTTTTACAATTATTCCGAGTAAAAGCTGCTTGATTTTATTTTGGCTCAGACTATACCCTCGGAATGCTCTTCTTTGCGCTTCGCGTTGATTCACTTTATTATCAGAGGTCTTTCGTGATATGAATACCACGTCTTGCCATAAAGATTATCAGATATCTCGTTGCGAGTATTCTCGCGGCCTCAGTCCGTTTTACGCTTCCGATAAATAAAGCAAGTTATAAGGAAGCAAAAGTAACGGCGCAATATACCAAGACTGACTTTCATTCTCGCAGTTGATTCTCGGGGGACATTCCCCGCGTTTGAAATCCACACCATAGGAACGAATCCAGGCAGGCTTAAAGAGAGTCCGTGCGACACAACGGCTGATAAACAACAATCGGCTAAGCCGGATTCTGGAATTTCCAGCTCGGACATGCCTTCACCTACCTACCTACTTACTTCGCCATCGTTTCCACCTCCTATGAACTTACGATTATCCGGGATATATTCGTTTCAACGTTTACACGCTCTCTTTTTCGTCTTTTCCGAGACCAACACGGACGAGTCGACGCGCGACACAACGAATGAAAAATTGAAAAATATTAACACTGGTACTCACTTAATTCACGACAATTACAATTTAAAACACACAAATCTCTGCGAGACGCCGCGGTAAATTAATATTTCTTCACGCTCGTGCGATTGTGTCGTCTCGGCAGCGGCGCGTTCTTCCTCGACTCTGTACAAGTACATTCTCAAGCGACTTCCTATTTCCTCGTAAATTCGCGAAGGCGCGTTTTGAACGCCGTAAACTTACCGAAAGTTACGCCCCTAACTCAAATTCACCAGAAATACACTCTCGCGCTTCCGCGCAACGACAACGATGACGATATGAAAGTAAATTGTCCTGAACATACTGAGTGAGAGCAACGAAAATGCGTTATCGTCTATAAACATACTGTCCCATAAACGTCCGCTCGCCCTTGTTCCATTCGCGCGATCCTATCCATCCCGTTTCACCCTATACGGCTGCGATACGCATAAACGACCTTCCCTATCCGGTCGAGGGTGAGCGTCGTCCGTCTTCCCTTCCTCTATCTCCCTCCGTGCGTACGTGCGTGCGTGCGTGCGTGCGCGACCATGTGTGCGAATTTTTATCGAGTGTAAGACGCCCGACCCTTCTCGCACGTTGCTGTCGCACGGCCACGGCGTCGTTTTCACGACGTCGTCGGCTCGTAAACTCGCCCGCTGCCGGGCAGATTTACGGCCGACGCCGGCGTTCTGGCGCTTCCCGCCAGCGGAATACCCCGGGAGGCACCCCGGGATTTGTGCCGAGTTGTCGCCGGGTGACCGACCGACCGACCGACCGACCGACCGACCGATCGGCGAGTTCTTCCAGGAAGAGACTACGCCCTGAAGGATGAAGGATATCCGTTACGTCGCACGCCCTTTCCGGCGTCGGCGGTTAATTCGACGGCAGTCAATTTTCCGCCCGCACGGCTGCCTGAATCCCCACGACGCGAATTATTTTTGAGTGCGCGCGCGTATACGCGAACGAATGGGGTTGCGGTTACGGGAGTTATATGGAGTGGAAGATACACAGTATCGCGCCGGGGACGCACGGAGAGGCCGATAAGAGCGCGAGAAGATGTCTGCAAATTAGCTTTGAATTTTAACGGAGGCCCCTCTGCGCAAATTCCCGCCGCTTAGTCGGCATTGTAGTTGACGTTACGCTCGCGTCGCGATCCACGTGTGTGCACGGGGCGAAGTCTCGGGACGGTGAAGATTCTGATAGCGCGATCTCCTTCAGATGGAACCGGAAAGAGCGTCTCTCGTCCTGCCATTGAGACGCGCGCCTCGTACGATGGTACTCTTTATCGGAGAATAGGATGGGATAAGATTGGACGGCGGGACGGGATCCGGGACGTGAATTCGCGATACCGCCAATAATGTGGAAACGGAATAAGTTATGGAAGCGTGCGTATGCGATGCGATAGCGAGAAGTAACATTGTAACGTATGCGAGACAGTTTCTCCGGGCTATTGGTATCTTTGCTTGCGCGACGATGTAAAGTTTTTGACAGCAAAGATATTTGTTTTCGGACATTCTTGGAATCCCTTCCTCTGGTTCGCGGTTTGGGTAGTCTCGTGGAATCGATTCTACTCCCGTTACACGCGCAACTTTTGATTCCACGTGCACGGGCGATGCAGTGGTCTGCATACATAGCGGGTTAGCCAACGTGTTCAGGCCTAAATTGCCGTTGCAGTTGTGCGTCCAGGTGCTATTAACGGTCCTCCGGAGAGTCCCGCGACACATCAATGCGTCAGTAAGTCCTAACCTCCGAGTCCGGCCTGCAATCGAGCTTGGCATTCATCCTTTTGTCCGCGTCCTTGGCATTGTCCCCGGTCTGATCCTTCGTCCGGGATTTCGGAGGTTGCCTGACACTCTATCGCCGCCCTCCTGACTCTCACGGCGCTTCTTGAGAGCGGCATCCTATACACAACTGCTGTTTTATCGCCGCTATTACATCCTCGTTTGTAGTCAAGTATATCGCGTTGTCCGACGTACTGCGTCGCAGTGCTTTATTACTTCTCGGATAATAAGTGTCGCGTAAACGACCAATGTCGTGGAGAAATGAAACGCGTACATACACGGAGAGAATTTTATAGTGAAGATTACTGTATAACTTTGTAACTAAGGAAAATGGACCGAAATTCTTCAGTAATTCACTCTTCTTTAATTTCATATGTACTATTATTTATATTTCAGGAACTCGGAAATATGTATAAACACTTGCTATGTCTCCAGCAAGGTTTATTACGTTTCTAACGAAGTTTACTGTTCCTTAGCAAGGTAGACTTTGTTGCACGGAAGAAACAAAATTGCGTTAGTGTAACTGAATTTTGTGTTATCTGGGAATACTAGATGAAAAACTCGCTTGGGAACAGAAAGATTCCTGTAGGAGATTTCTATTCAGCGCCAATTACTTTCAGTTACCTCAACCGAGTTTTAACGCAGCTGAATGTTCAGACGAATGTTTTCGGTCACAGTACAGAGATATTTCTCGTCAGTGAGTTTCTCGTTCTTTTTGGTTCCTATTAAGTTACGCAAACTGAACATTTTTTTCCGTGCGATAGTCTATTCTTGGACTACGAAACACATAGTAAAAATGAAGAGAATTTATATGAAAAGAAACTATAATATTCTCACTGTGTACATGGAAGAAAAAGTGCAATTCGTGTAACTGAATGGCGGGACCAGATAAAAGACTCACTGATGAGAAATAATATGTCTGTTGCCGTAGCCGAAAACATTCGTCTGAACATTCAGCTGCGTTAAAACTCGGTTGAGGTAACTGAGAGCAATTTGTTGAGTAGAAATCTTTTACAGGAATCTTTCTGTCCCTACAAATGAGTTTGGTCTCCAGGCAGTGGAAAATTCAGTTGCACTAACAGAGCTGTTTTTTCCGTGTGTACATCCATATTTATTGACACAGTAAACTACCTTTCTCTCTCAATTACTGCATCGGCAAGAAAATATCTGATATTTGTAATTATAATCACATATAGAGAAATAATTATTATAAATTATAGTGAAGAAAACAATTTTTTTAATTCAATTCTACTATAATATGTTAGTGATAATAACCTGATATGCATGTCACAATTATTAGTTTCGTGTTAAAACAATTATAAAATACGATTGGAGCAAAAAATAACTATAATTTTAGTTAGATCAACCATTTTCTATCAGTGTAACAACAACTAACAAAATACCGTGTTTATAAAATGGTAAATAAATGATCATATGTACGAATGGAACGCGTGAAACGTCTCGTTCAGTTACGCGAGTATTGAATGCCGCGTTGATTTCCATAAATTGTTCCCGAGCTCAACTGAAGCTTGATTAATCAAAGACGGTGAATATGTATCTGCATATTTCTGCAAATTTCTGAAGATTTACCCAGATGCGGCAGAGCTTTTCATCAGAATTCCCGAATTTGTCCCAAAATAGGTCATCCCATTGTAGCACCAATTGAAAACCCTTATTCTTATCTCAAATATGAGTGTACCAGCGGGATAAAAATATTGTGGAGATTCACGATTTTTCTCGTAATAGGTAAAATCAATATACCTTTATGAAATTATACTGAGAATTTCTTTATCACACCGACCAATTACCCCAATTAAATTCAGTAGAATAAAAAATAAAAAAGAATTAGAGCACTTAGCATTTTTAAATATTCATAGTTTTAAATGCAGATACTCGGAGTGCTTCATATGTTTCGTCCAATTTTAGTGTAAAATGGAGGCCAGAAAAGATTTTGCGGAAAATTTTTGTAACATCAATGGAAATTTGCTCGGGTTATTAATTTATTAATTCTTTTATTGTTTAAATTTCGTGTTTTCCACTGAACGAATTTCGTGAATCGCGTATTCAAAACATTACACTTCTAACTTAATGCTGCGTACATCTCTAAAGGGGAGTTCAAAATTTTTGTAGGAAATACGGATCCCAGTTAGATCCCACGTAATTTTCTATGTGGATCTATTTCCTGATGCACATGCTGGTTAGCTAGTTTCACCATTAGCCCTATCAGCCACATATTAAATGCGTTAGCTGCAATTAGTTGCGTCCTGCCCGCAAATTAACGAGACGCAGCGGAATCATAATGTCGGCCATCGGTAATGGCCATAACAGTCAACGTGTTGAATATTGTTGGAAGAAGTACCTTGTCAGGGACACGCGAGGTACTCGTCGAGAGATCGTCGCTCCGTCCACGAACAAACAATGATCGGCGCGAAAAAAGACAGCCGGTCTGACGGATCGGTCTCCTCGTAACCACCTCCCCCCGTCATTCTACTTACGGGCCTCTCGATTTCTGCTCGGGTCACGATGAAATATGCAGAGGAATCGCTCGACGAGGTACCTAGGACGATCGCGGGCCAATTTATGTCCGTCGACCGGAAGCCACCGGTGCATTATTAATGCACGGGGCCGATAGTTTCCCCGCGGAAGCTGCAGCTGACGCGTACAAATGTCCGCAGTCACGTCATTAGTCCAGGTACACTGCCGACCAGGTATATCGTCGGTATAACTTTTGCCAGGAAGCGCTTGGCGCCGGACTCTCGCCGCTTTCGACTTACTACTACCGTGAGCCGCTTTTGTCGGAAAAGTTACTGATCCTGACTACTTTGTTCACCGTGTTCCTCTTCGCGTAAGCTGCGTAACTACGGCGCGCCCAGAACACGCGGTATGCGATTCGCCTAATCTCGAGCAGTATATCAGCATTATTTGGAGCTATATATCGGCCGTTAATAACGAAGAAATAAATAAGTACCTCGAAGAAACGCGTGAATTATATTATTGAGACACATTACACAATGTAATAAGATTTTGCTAAGATCTTGCTAATAATGCTTTAAATAAGTCACAAAAGATTTCAAATAAAAACACCAACGCCTGAACATTCTTATTGTTTTGGCCTTTGAATACAAATATTAAAATTTTCAATATAGAGAACGTAGAGCTACAGTTATTGGCACATTAAGCACATAAATCTATTAATTGGGTTATAATTTCAGAAGGATTAAATTTTTTAGTTATTGGGCTTTAAATAGGTTGTAGTTAAAGGTTAAAGGAAAATATATGTATAATTTTTTACGGAAATGTTATATATATTTATGTTATAAATCTGTGAAATTAAAGAAACATAATCACAACTATTGGCATCTCAAACATAGTTATTGGCCGTCTACATATGTATCAGCTATTGGCACTCTTTAATAAATTAAAAAAAAATCTGTAATTTAAAACTTATAATTAAATGTTTATCTTTATAATAATCTCTAATTATAATATATAGTTATAACGCTATAAAAAAATTTATAATTTTAAGGGATGATGCGCGATAAGCGGATACTCGCTTATTCCTTTTTCTCGCTTACTCATTTTCCTGTTCTTTTTTTTCTTTTTCTATTCTCTTGTCTTTTTTCTTTTTTTTCTCGCAAATATTTCGGCCTGTTCTTTTAGCTGTCTTTCCTGCGATGATCTCCTGCCAATGCAAAGAAGACACGGCAAACGGAACACGTTCTGTTTGACAACGTCCTTTTTGTTTAGGAGTTTCAGGCCATTGTAAATGCTTTGATAATGATATGGATGATGGAACGTAAAGTATATCCTGCTGATCGAGTACAGGGGTTTCCAGGGTTCGATAGTACCTAGTTAACAACATAAAAAGTTATAAAATTAAATATTTTTAATTTAACTTAGTTACACTTTTAGACTCTTAACTTTTAATTTAATTATATCGATAATTATTTTCATCGATAATTATTAACTTTTAATTCAACTTTCTTGAAATTAGATAAATAAAGATGCTGCGCGCCTGCTTATAAGTAACTCTACATTATATGTGGCCTTGTTTCTCGAATTCGCGCGAAATTGTTCGCATGCGAAACTGGCCATATTCCGTGTAGTGTAGTTGATCGTATACTTCTAGACTGAAGAATTCGACCAATTACAAATGATTACTCAGAATGGCCTGTTTCGTATGTGAACAAATTCGTACGTGTTCGATAATCGAGCTAAATGTACGACAAGCTATGTTTGTGGTCAAGCCTTATATTTAAGGCCTCTTTAAATTTATCTTCAAATGCTCTACAAATCATTTTATTAGCATGCAAAATTTCGAAACAGCTTTATTATTTTAATTTAATAAGTTTCTATACACAAGATATGTATATAGAGTATGTTTTTAAATAAAGTGTATATTTATTATTTCTGTTATTTATAAAACTAAAACCCTGAAATCACGAAACGAAACAAAACTTTAAATTTTAATTAAAACTTTAAATTTTAAGTAAATTTTATTTTACTTTTAATTTTTCAATTACTTTTTCTTTATTAACTTAACTTTCAATTCAATTAATTTCATTATGGATTAATTTGTATCTTAACTATGTTAAATTTTCAAAGCTGTTAACTTAATATAGTTAAAAAAAATTTAACTTACCCTACCCTGGGAGTTTCAGATTGAGACATATCAGATACGGATGTTGCAGATGAAGGCTGGAATTCTTTCCAAATTTTGTACAGAATATTTTCAGCTTCTATTTCAGCTTTTCCTCCAATTAGATATCTCGCTTGATAAATTTCAAGTCTTTTCTCTCCAACAAGTTCACAAAATTTACTAAATTTAAAGAAAGTTTCTTGTAGTGATGCTTCTGTCTGCACAGCCTTTTCATAATATGAATTTTTGGCGTCATCCATGATCTCCTGGGTGGAACTTCTACCTAGACACTTCGAAAAGTTTATAGCGTTAGGGTCCCACGGATGTAATCCTGTTGCTCTGAATCAATTTTTTAAAATCATAGATCTTTCTTCTGCAAGACGCTCTCCAGCAATGGAATAACTTCCTTCTTAGTCAATGTCTCATATGGATGTTTCCTACGCCATTCAAGGACCTCTTTGTTCCATCCCTCTTTGATTG